ATCTATTAAACATCTTGGTTTCAAAGAGCATTGAAACACATGATTCAAGACAGAAACCAAAGAGAAAGTACCACCAAAAATCATGAACCCAAAAGACCAAAATTATACTTCAGTTTTACGGAAGCACCTATTATACCTCAGTCGCTTGATGTCCAACACCTAGTTTTCAAGTTCTGGTTAACCTTGAAACTTCCAAAAGTTTACTCAAAGTGACCAGGGTATAATCCTGGGAAAGCAGATCTAGATGTGATTAAAATCAATTATACTGACCCTGTCTCAAAGAAAGGCTGTGGCAACAGAAAAGGGATGATCTATATGAAAGATAAAGAGGCTCAAGAATGCAGCATTCATTTTCCAGGAAAGAGAGATACTATCTGGCAGACATAAGTATGGTATCTGCCAGGGAGATACTAAGTATGAGGTGGGGATGACTGGCAAGGCTTCATTTCACCTTGCCAGAATGAAATAGTCACCCAAACCACCCAAGATTTTGGCTCTGATTCCAAGCTCACCTAGAAGCTTTCTGGTTAGCTTCTCAAATATTCTGATACCAGGAGTCAGATGTCACAGATAGAGAACATAAATACTCAGGCCCCTGGAGAAGAATATCCCCTCACAGTAGATTAAGAGTGGCATTCTTGTTTATACAAAGGCAAAGCAGTGTAGTGGTTAAGTGCCCAATATTTGGAGGGCTAATGGTTTCAAATCCTGACTGTTGCTTACTTAACTTCTCTGTGATTCACTTTTCTCATTAAACGATAATATAATGCTTACTTCAAATGCCGTTATAAGGACTGAGTTAATTCATGCAAAGCATATAGAAAGAACCTTGGCTGTCATATAGTGCTCAATAAAGCTATTATAATTTTTCATAATAATTATTAAACATCTATCATGATTTTGATTTGGGAATCAAAATCCAAGCATGATCAACTCTAAAAAATTTATGATTTTAGACTATCACAGAAGTGCCACAATGTAAGGCCTCAGNAAGACAAGCTTTAAGAGACTATTAAAATGAATTTCTGGTTGTACAAGTTTGTTATACATTGTTTGATTATGGAAAAGTAATAAGGTAAAGGAGGCTGTTAGGTAGTCTTCCATTAGTAATGTAACAGAATTCAAAGTCATGTTTCTGAAGAACACAGAAAACATTCTAAAAATGTGCCAGTTGTCCAGGCTACTCATTGGAGAAAATGAAATATTTTCATTCTTAACAAGAAAAGGGTAATATTGATACAAAGAGCCCAGAAAGAACTAAGGTTTTTACTAACAGTAGACTCTCCTTTTCCAATTACTGCATTGTGTGTTGTTTTAGTGAAGTCCTTAAGAAACGGAATGATTATTCTCCCATACACAGTAACTCAGAAAGATGTCTCATAGACATTCAAACTAAAACATAAGTAGGTGTTATTCACTACTCTGTTATGTATGTGGACTCGTGGAGTAATAAGCAATGTGTGACAGATCTAGGTTGTTTGCATTACATTTGATAGATTAAATTTTTGACAACTAATTTTACCAAAACTCTTTGTCAATGATACAGACAAAGTCTGGTTCACGTGTCTGGAGACATTTTTGATTGTCACAAGTTGTGGGGAGGGGTAGTGTTACTGGCATCTAGTAGGTAGAGGCCAGGGATGCTGCTAAACATCCTATACTGCTCTTTGGGACAGCCCCCCACAGCAAAGAATTCTCTGGCCCAAAATACAAAATGCTGAGGTTGAGAAATCCTGCCACGGAGTACACTTACTGACAAACAGGGAGCCTAGTTAACTGGAAATGTACTAAACTGAACACTTGGAGGGCAAGGGTTTTGTTATGTATTTGTATCTCTAACACCTAACAGGATCTGACAGTTGGTACTCCAGTAAATGTGTGCTGAAGCAACAAATATGTAGAATAACAAGGTATATTCTCAAAGTATTTAACTGGATCTTAAAAACAAAGCTACGTATAACAGTAGCACAAAGCCTGCAAATAACTACTAGAATAAACAAAACTCCAGGTAGGTTCAAAGAGAGGCTTGAATGCAAAACTGACCTCTGTCAGAACTAAAGATTCCAAGAGTTCTGCTTTCTACTTATCATAAAGAGCAGACGTAATTGAGAGGTGGGTATGAAGAGTCACTCCTGGCATGGCAACGGAGTCGTTTTGAAGAACACACTCTTTTCGGCGAATTCTAAGTGCTGCCTAGTACTTTTTTTCTTTCCTGAGTAGATGACACACAAGACAAGAAACAGACTTCTGTGAAGTTCTCACATGTTTGGCAGGCTGACATCGGGACATAGCTGCCTAGGACTTCTCTACTCCCGATTCTCAAGAGTGTTGAGCACATGATTATAGTAAATGGGAGTAAGAGAGACAAAGCAGAATTGTAAGCGGAAGGACAAAAAGAAATAAAGAATACTTCCAAGGCTATTAGCTTTTACTAAACTGCTCAGAGGTATCATCAGGCAGGGTACAACCTAGAATTAGCTACATAGCTTTACTCATATTTATTATCTCCAGTAGTTTTTCTCATGGAATGAGGAAAAGGCTATCCAGAATGTTGGAGTAAAGAGAATTAGAGGAGGGGAAGGGGAAGGAAAATAAAACATCACTTGACACAAAGATGCCATTAAACTCAGTCTTCATAGGTGTATATAACCTAATAGATTAAATATCTGTGTCATTTTTCCAATGCTCCAGGAACTTAATATACTACGCTAACTGTGTGCCTTTGAGAGGAAAAGAATTTTTCTCACAGCTTTCACACCTTATCTCCCTCACAATGGTCCATTTGGACTTACTAGATAGAAGATGCCTAATTTACTCTTAATTTCTTTCTATTATAAACCTTGGGGGGAGTGAGGAGGAAGAAATGTTCATGGAGTACCTACTATATGTCATATACCCTACTAAGTATATAGTAAGTATATCATTATCTCTGTTATACTACTTTATAGATGGGGAAACCAAGGCTCAGTTTAAGTAAGTAATTTGGCCCAAGGACTGAGTCAGTAAAGAACAGACTTAATGTTCAAGTATGGATCTACTCTGAAACTAAGGATAGCGCACGGTCTGATAGTCTTACTGCTGGATTCACCTACTCTTAACAAATAAGATGATATAAGAACTGCTGAATATCAAAAAAATAGGCTAAGCACCCTTCCTGGTGACTCATTTCAAAATTCCAGATGCATTCTACAATAGAATCGTGAAATCTTATTTCCTCCACAGACTCAAAGACAGTTAAATAGATGAACTAGAAAGACCAGAGTAGTCATGGTTTTCAGCTGTTTTTGTAATTTAGAAACTGAAACAATCTACATTAATTCAGAAAATGAAGGTACTACTGGGAAGAAGGAATACAAAGACAAAAAGGTTTTAGAACATAATCAGCAGGAGATCCATATGTCTTCACTGAAAAAAATGGACACNCTCACCCGGGAAGAGCGCAATGATAAATACCAACATGGGCCAGTGAAGCGATGTCCTCCACAACTAGACTGAAAAACAAAGGGACAGCAACTTGTCTGTTCCCCTTCCCTGATTCCCAAATGCTGTTCCCCTCCTCCAACTCCCCAATAAAAATCTTAAAAAAAAAAATTTCAGTGAATCTATCCATTTACGTGAAGAGCTTGATCTGCCCGAAGGAGAACTAGCTTAAGTTTATCTAACAAAGTTCTTTATTTAGGCCCAGTCACACCTCTGACCTTATTGGGAGGCAGGGAGGGAGGATGCTTTCACTTTAAATTTATTTTTAAAAGATCCTGATTTATCAACTCACCTATTACATGGGCAGACACAAAGGCCACAGCACTTGTTGAGTTCCGTTAAAGTCTTCTCTGCCTCTTTCATGTCTTTATTTATTTGATCCATGCCTTCTTCTATGCGGTTTAGTTGTTCTAAGAATAAGTTGTGGAAGTTACATTTTGTGTTACATTTACAGTGCCAAGTATTATTATAAAACAGCAAACTTCAACCTCAAATCCACCAATAACACACCATAGAGACTGTATCAGTGCCAGAAGGTATCACATACTATCAAATATGAAAACAATCTTTCACATACTGATCCTGAGGCACCTGGCTTCTTATTGTGTCAAGATTTGTTCTAAAGAAATTTGTATAATAGAAGCATGTGAGGGTTTGTTTAGAGATCACCCTTGCAACCAAAGTAAGTGCACTGTGACCAGACCAGATCCCCAGCATTTCTATCGTTGAATAGGCTCAAAACCCGAGGGCTGTCATAAGACTAATAAAAACCAGATTGCTCAGGGCTAACTCAAACAGAATGTTTCAAGCTCACCTGACTCTACACCTATTTAAGGACTTAACTTGATTCCTGAAAATGATGCAAGAATATCATGTTTAATATACATATGAACAATGCACACAGTAAGTCCTACCACCTAACAGATACCTGGGATACAACTGGACATTGTTGCCCTCACCTCTAACAGGCAATAAACATGATATAATTCAAATGAGAAGAAGTAAACAAATCACTCTTATCTTACAGAGGGAAGGCACTCCCAAAGGCTGATTTGATATTTTTAACGTGACTGATCTGATGGTAAGTCAAATCAAGAGTTTCTGCCAATAACTGTAACTCACCCCCTTGTTCATCCAGCATAGTAATAGTCTTGATTCCTGCATCCTGAGACTGAAAGAAGGAAAAAGAGCTGATAGCAAAACAAAACATAGCAAAAATAACAGAAACAAAAACTATAAGGCCTGACATAGCAGGAAAGAATCATTTAGAAACCTAAGTTCTCAGAGGAGTACAGCTACAGGGAAAATTAATATCCCCAAATCAACACACTTTAACACAGTAACCCGCCCCCACAAAAAAAAAAAAATTAAGTCACAAACTCATGGTGCATTGATCTTCCCTGTCATATTCCAATACTGTCAATAGGAAAAACAAAAAAGGCCCGTTAGTGCATGGCTTGACAATTTCATCAATTGCTGGTTTCAAATAATAAAGGTTATTGAAACAATACCCTTCTGACTCTTAACANACTCATGGTTTTATGCCTTCCTGCATAGCTTTCTCAAGCAGTAATCACTTCTTGAGGGTAGAATTGGAGAAAATGTATGGTTGTGTTTATTTAGGGTTGGGATGGTCACTGGTGTAATGTCATTCTTCTCAACCAGCAATATTTTTGCCCTCCAGGGGACATTTAGCAATGTCTGGAGACATTTTTGATTGTCAAGATGATGGGGATGGGGGAAAATGTAAGGGGGTGGGGTACCAGAGGCATCTAGTGTTCAGGGATGCTGCTAAATAACCTACAATGCACAGAATAGCACAAGAATTATCTCCAAAATGTCAATAGTGCCAAGGTTGTGAAACCCCGATCTACCTTGATGTTGTTCACCAACAGCTGACCTTGGTCTTCTATAAGCTTTTCCTTGGACTATGGCCCTGAGCTTACAGGGTAAAGCAGTTCTTCCATTGCATGCCTTTGATGGAGAGTAGGATGAGCAGCAGACCCCAGACCTTGAATGTTTCAAGGACTTGTGATGTCACAAATACAGAATTGGAATAGTTGCTCAATCCTCTAGAAGCCAGTCTGAATTTACATATAATTGGAGGGAGCTGCTTACTTTGATTTGAGGCATTGAAGTTCTTGTTAAACATAGATGTTATTAGAAGCTCAATAATATAGGAGTAACCCTTCACACCATTATCAACCTTAATGTAACTTGGTTTATCTGACTAGTTTTAGTCACTAAAATAGTATCTTGAGGTATAGGCTAAGCTTAATAATAAATATAAATACAGTAGGTATTGATAATGAAACCAAGGTCAGATGAGTCAGGGGCTCGCGCTGCCTGTAGATCTACACAGAAGTTGGGTCATAGAATAAGCATTTATTATCAGAGCACCAGTGGTCTGAGAAGGCAGCCGGTTAACACTTCCGAAAACTGCCTTACCTTCTCACACCGGCTTGGGATTTTTAAAGCAAATCTGGGCTTTTCTCCAGAGGCTACATGAAGGTTCTGGGGGTCTCCATGGAGCCTTCCCTGTGGCCACGTGATTCTCTGGTGGAGCCAGCAACCCAGGAATGATGATTGGATTAGCCTGGTAGACCACTGGGACTGTAATCAATAAGCCTAAGGGTATTAATAATAAGTTTCAGGGTAATTTTCTAAACCAGGGAACTGGGTGGGACAGGGGACATTCTGAGCTCAAGCCACAGGGGGATGATCTGTTGTTAAGCTATAGGTGGGCCAAGGAAAGGTGAGGCCAGGGACGTGGAGAGACTTCTACTATGGGGGTGCCAACCAGGCCCAGTTTCAATAAGAATATAATCATAGGTATTGATGGATTGTCTGCTCTGTGATAGGCACTTGACCTATGTAATGTCATTTAAAACTAGCAACACCTTGAAAGATAAGATGTTAACCTTAATTTTAACTCTGAGGAAAGTGAGGTTCCTAGAAAACTTGTAATTTATCCAAAGTCACAAATGAGTACCAAGGTCAGTATTTTAACTCAGGTCTGTCTGTTCTAAAGCTTTTGCAACTTTCATTAAGCTTCAATAAGTTTTTCAAGGAAGGGGTGGTTGGAAATTTAGCTGAAACAGCTGCCTCCAATTAAATGGAATGGTGGGGGTTTAGGAAGAGAGTAAGACCAAGAGGGAGGTCCGGAAATAGCAAAGAGAATGAAAAAGGAGTCAGAGAGGCTGGTCACAGGAGGAGTCCAATGCAGCGGATTGTCTTTCGCAAGCCAGCCTGTCTTGGTTGTCTTCCCTTCTTTTTGAGAAAAGCCTCTTTCCCCTGTGTCCGTTGTTCACTCTCGTGTGTTCAAATAAAGCTAGATTATTGACAAAGGCGTATGGCAAAGAAAAAAAAAAAAGGGGTGCGCGACGGCGCTGTGTGCGCCTGCGCGCTGGCGGCGGCGGCGGCGGCGGTGCCCGGCGGGGAGCGGGCCCAGAGCGGGCCGCCGGACCCAAATCTGAGGGGGTGGCGTCAGGGAGCTCCCCCGCCGGGGCCTCGGCGGCCTGATGGAGTAAGTCGGTAGTGAGGGTGAGTATCTAGGGGCTGGGCTGCGTAGAGGCGTATGGGAGCCCGAGGGTCGGGTGTTCTGTCTCTTAGGGAGGTTTGGGGCTGCAGGACGCGCGGCCAGGTCTCTGCTCCTGCAGGCTGCGGCGCACGGGCAACCTGGTGGTCCCCTCTCCCAGAGCCTGCGCAGGTTCACGGGCAGGCGGTGTTTCTGGCTTCGGGATACAGATTCTCGCGGGACCGTTCCAGTCTTGCTCCCCACCCCAGTAGGAAACGTGGCTGCAGATCCTTGACCTTTAGGGGAGGCCTCTGACCTCCTTAGGCCCCCGGTGCCACAGTGAGTCCGTACACCCAGGTGCTTAAAGGCCTGCGGATTTTAGGCCAGGGACACCTTTCGACCTCTTGTGAGTGTGACAGCCTCATTGTTTGTTCCTCCTAAGGTCTTCTCTCCCAGCGGGATGTGTCTTAATAATAGCTACTAATGATGGAGTTTTTATTATGTGTCAGTTTAATATTTAGTTCGAATCTTGGTGCATAATTATGGAGAGGAAATGCTTTGCACCCCACTCTCCCTTTAGTCTGCTCAATTCGATCATCTTTGAGAGTCAGCATCATCTGTTGAGGGTCTTTGAGATTAAGTCATCTTGTTGGGAAGTTTCAGATTTCTATGGCTCTTAGCAACTTCGGACTGCCTTCCTAGTTAAGGGAAGTTCTTTTATCTAGCAAATGAGTGCTTTGTCCATCATAATTAGGTTTATACCGAATTAACTCAAGCCAAAGGAACTTTTGAGCACTTACTAAGAGCCTAATACTGTTCTAAACCCCATGGAAAATCTTAAAATTTGTTTTAAGCCCTGTTCTCAAGTTTGGTGGAGAATGAAACAATGGAAGATAACATTTAGAGTCAACTAGGATTTATTAAGCACGTTACTACATACACATGTGCCGATACATTCGCATCGGTCAAAAAATTAATGAGGTATTGTAATGGAAGGTGGTTTCTGGGAGCACATTTCAGATAAGAGTTTGATGGTAATTTGCTCAAGCTAATTTAGCCAGAGTTTAGTGGTGAAATTCACATACAGTGACCAAGCTTATCTCCCCCCCCACCCCTGCCCCCCTGCACCAAGTTAGATATTCTAAGCACTTCTGCTGAGAAGCAACTACATTACAGTTATAGTTTCTAGAGTTAACTACTGTGTCTAGAAAATGGTAGAAGGCTTTAATTAAAGATACTATTAGATGGTTTCTGAAGAGAACTTTAGAATGGTTTGGAAGAAGGTAGAAGATGTGAAGGAGTCTGATCAGGTTAGTTCAGAACCAATTGCTTTGATTAAAATAAAGATATTTAAAAAGGAAAAACTGGTGATTATAGTACATCTAGGTTAGAGCACATTTAGTTTGAAGGCTACTGTACAAGAGAAGCAAGGAATAATGGTAGATGCCGGCTGACTTGGTTCTGGGACAAGAAATGGCTCAGTGAGAAGTACACCAGTTGAGTGTTTTTAAATTTGTAACTGCAGTGTTTAAGTGGGAAGTTTGGGATTAATTTGTGTACTCAGTGAATAAGAGCACCTAGGCAGACAATTGCACATCCGGCATGCTAAATCGCGAATTGAGATCTTACAATCAATTAGATTTGTTTCTTTAATTTTTAACCTGAAAGAGACAACCAAGAAATGAGATTTCCAAGTTTTTGTCAATAGAGGAATGGTTAAAGAAATTATGTATTTGTTAGAAAGAATGAGCCAACCCTCTATGTGCTAATATTGAGTGATCTTCAAGGTATAATAGTAAGTGGGGGGGAAAAGTGCAAAAGAGAATGTACAACCATTTGTGGCTTTAAAAATATATATGTATTTGCATATTATGTATAGAATATACCTTGAAGAATACATAAACTGGTAACTGACTGGAGGTGACTGGGAAACATGAGTGGGAGGGGAATAATTTTCTCTGAGCTTTTTTGTTTTATTTTTTATTATGAAAACTTATAAGCATTCAGAAAAGTAGAGAAAATACCATACTGAACCCATGTATGTTGATCACACAGATTTTAAAATCTGTTTATATTTTGTCTCATTCCTGACATTTCACCTCTAAATACTTTAATATCTGTGTCTAATAAAAGTAACATTTTACTGCATAGCTAAATATCATAACCACACCGAACAATGGTAATTCCTCTGTGTTATCTAATACCCAGTCCTTTGAATTTTCCACAGATTGTCCCCACCTTTTTAAAACTTTTTTAATCCAATTTCCAATCAAATCTATACGTTGCATTTGACTGTTACGTCTTTTGAAGTCTTTTTAAATCTCAACTAAGAATAGTTTACTTTTCTCTCTCTTTCCCCCTTTCCCTTTTATCATCATGACTTGAAGAGATCTGGTCAGTTGTCTGGATTTAGCTGATTGATTCTTAGTGATATCATTTAACTTGTTACTATAACCTGGAAGGTAGAGCTAAACACTTGATTGGATTCAGGTTACACACTTTGGGTACAATACCATAGGCCATGCTGTATACAGTAGTTTTCCTCTATTAGTGATTCTGAGATTGATGAGTGGGTTCAGGTGGTGAGTCTGAGTCTTCCATTGTAAAATTGTATTTCTCTCCTGAAACCAGCTCAGATGTAAGCTGTTTTGTACCTTTTACATTTTAAATTCATAATGATAAAAGAATCAATTCATCAGGAAGACATAATCATAAATATGTATGTGCCTAATATCAGAGCTTCAAAATATATCAAGCAAAATTGATACAAATTAAAGGAAGGAATAGAAAACAATTATAGAGACTTTAACTCTTCTCAATAACCGATAAACAAAAAATCAGTTTAGATTTCCGCCTAATAACTACAGAATACGCCTTTCCCCCCAACTGTACACATAGACCAGATACTAGGCTGTAAATCAAGTCTCAAATTTGAAAGGCTTGAAATAATACAGAATATATGTTCTTTGTAATGGCATTAAAGTAGAAGTCAAGATGTCTAAAAAACACCACAAATATTTGGAAATTCAGTGAAACTTCTAAATCTATGAACCAAGAAAGAAATCACAAGAGAAATTAGAAAGTATTTTGAACTGGATGATAAAAGTACATCAAAACTTGTGGGATAACTGTCATAGTCAAGATGAGCCTAAGGAGACATAATTAAATGTAATGTGGTATTCTGATTGAGATCCTGGAAGAGAAAAAGGATACTCGGTAAAAATGTGGATTTAATGTGTCAGTGTTGTTGTTTTTTTATTATACAAATTAGTATACAAATTATACTAATGTTAAGATATACATAATATGGGAAACTGGAGGTTAAAGTAACTTTCAGAGACTTAATACCCAAAATATTAATGGGTATATGGGTGCTCTATTATTTTTGCAATTTTTCTATAAATCTAAAACTATTCTAAAAGAAATAATTTATTAAAAAGTGGTAAAAAAAATTTTACACAGTGCAGTTATTGCAGTGTTGAGAGAGGTGTATTGCCTGAAAACCTATTTTAGAAAAGTCTAAAGACAATGAATGACCTAAAGTTTTACCTTAAGAAGCTAGTAAATGAAGAGCAAAATAAACCCAAAGTAGATAGAAGGAAAGAAATAATAAAAATGACAGAATAAATCAATGAAATAAAGACAAAAAAATAGATAAAATTATAAAGCCAGAAGTTGGTTCTTTGAAAAGATCAATAATATTGATAGACCTGTAGATTGATAATGAAAAAGAGAACACAAATTACTAGTATTGGGAATGAGAGGGATTTATCACTAGCGATCCTATAGGATAATAAGGGGGTATTATAAGCAACTTTATGCCAACAAATTTGCCAGTATAAATGAACAATTTCTTGAAAACGGCAACATACTAAAACTGTCACAAGTTGAAACAAAATCTGAATATGTTAAAGAAATGGAATTAATGATAAAAAGAAACCTTCCCACAAAGAAAAGTCAGGGCCGCAGTGGTTTCACTGATGAAATCTGTCAAGTATTTAAAGAAGAAATAACATCCATCTTATATAAACTTTCAGAAAACAGGCAAAGGGGAAACATTTCTGAACTCATTTCAAGAGGCCAGTATAGCCCTACTAACCAAAAACTGATAAAGATGTTACAGATTAAAAAGAAAATTACAAAACCGTGTGCCTTATGAACATAGATCCAAAAAATTCTAGGCAAACTATTAACAAATCATAATACACATCAATGACTTAAGTGACCAAGGATAGATGGATAGTTATCTGATAGAGCAAGTATGTGTACAGTAAAAAGTTAATGGTAGAATCTAGGTGGTGGGTATAGAGGTATGGGGGAAACGGGATGCGGGGTAGTCACTGTAAAGTTATTTTAGTATTTCTGTGTTTGAAATTTTCCAAAATACAGCACTGGGTAAAAAAGCAAGGGAATATTATGATCAGATTTGCATTTTAAAGAGATTACTTATGGTCCAGTCTGAGGAATTAGGAAAGCTCAGGGTTACCCGAGAGTAGTTTGAGGGGGTGCTGAGACTACTTAGGAGGAAATTATATAGCTATTCCTTGTAGGCTGGTGATTTCAAGGTAAATTTGTGTACTTCGATATTTTTCATGCTGTTGGGATGCCGAACTTTTGAACAGTAGCAAATTTTGTCTAAGCGTACATCCTTGCTGAGATGTTTGGGCATATCATTGCCACATGTGCAGTATGCACATGTGAGCTTTTAGTAAACATTGGACTTTTGACATTTACAAGGATGTTGAAGTCTCTTGCAGATTTCAAAATCTGCAAATACTACTACTTTAGCAGCACATAAATTCTCCCTAAAATCTAATAAAATATATGGTGACCTTTTTGGAGACTTAATGATTTTTTAAAATACGGGGACAAAGGCACTTAGAAAGCTATTAACATCAATTAAACTGCCAGAGAAAATGCTTTACTGTATTACACCATTACTGTGGTCTAGTCAACCATGCACTTAAAAGATTCTATAATGGAGATGAAATAATGAAGGTGATTGCTATTTCAGTCAGACTTGTAT